GCTCATGAATGGTGGGAGCGTTCAGGCCAAGGAATGCCAGATGAGACAAACACATCACGGGGGCTTCCCTTCAGGTGCCTTAAATTTGGCAGCACTTCCAGCAAGGGGTGGCAGAGCTGGGCACCAGGAGCTCCAGGCACACCCAGCCTGGAAGATGAGGGGTTGGCACTGTGCTCCCTCTTGGAGCATCCCTGGACACACTTCGTCTTCCCGGGTTTCCTCCTGTGCCCAACAAGGCCAAGCAGGGATGTTTAACACTGCCCAGGATTTGCTTTGGCACATCCTTGTCCCTCAGCTGGGTGCCTCAGCTCCCACGATGCCACTTTGAAGGGACCCACAGGGCTGCCCCCCCCTCCGAGGGGCACAAGGGGCTGTTCCCACACCCCAGCCGTGCTGGTCCGAGCCGTGCCAGTGCCCCCGAGCCCCCGGAGAGCAGGGAGGGCCCGGAGCCACCGGCTGTGAGTCACGGATCGCGCTGAGCATGCGGAGCAATTAAAGCTTTTCATGAATGACTTTAAGGCAAGAGGCTGAATCACACTCCGACACTGCTTTAATGTGTGCCGGCTGTGCCACTGTCACCCTCTGGCCGCCCGGCAGCTGGCACGGGGCAGGGGCACTGCCAGCCGCGGGCAGGGCAGCGGTGCCTCCAACCCCTCCGCTCGGGTCCTGCCAAAGGGACGCTCCAAGGGAGCTGATTCCCAGCGGGATGGAGCCATCGGGATGGCGCTGGGAGGAGAAATGCTGGAGAGCAGTGCCCCGGCCGGCCGGGCTGGGCTGGGCTGGGGCTGGCGCTGCCCGGAGCGGCCGCTGCGGGGCTGGCACGGCGCTGGCACGGGGCATGAGCAGTGGAGGTGCGCGAAAGAGGAACACGGGGGAGCTGGGCAGAGCTGGGCTGCGCTCGGTGTCACCGCAGCAGCGCACCCCTCCATGGGAGGCGTCACCCACCCACGGGGGCATCACCGGTGCCACAGGAGAGGGAGCAGAGTCTGGGAGGGCTCAGGGACAGCAGGCCCGGGGAAGCAGCAGGGCACGGTGCTGGGCTGGGGCGCTCCGGCTGCACAGCGCTGGGGACCCCCGGATCGGCCTGGGGGGGCCGGGTGTGGAGCATGGGGGGCAGCACAGCCACCTCCATGGGGCGGCTCCAGGCTCGGCCCTTCCCGAGGCCCCTGTCCCCCGTGTCCCCTGCCTGTCCTTGCGGTGCCGCCCTGGCTCCCGCAGCCTCCCGCTCGCGGCTCCTCCGAGCTCTCTGTCAGCTCTCTCCCTATTTATAGCTCGGGGCTGTTTCTAGGTCAGGCGGGAGCTGCCGGTGCCCGGGGAGCCAGCCCGGGGACCGTGGGGGGCTGCAGGGACACTGCCACACACCCACACGTGGGTCACCTCCCTGTGTCACCATCCTGGTGCTGTGCCCTGGGCACACAGGGGCTGAACTGGCACCGGGGCCAGCTGGGCCTGGCAGGGCTTCGTGGCATGCTGTGGGACTCTGTGGGGCTTGGCAGGGCTTTGTGGGGCTCTGTGGGACCCCACAGGATTCAGCGGGTCCTCATGGGATTTTGTGGGGCTCAGCAGAGCTCTTTGGGACTCCATGGGGCTCTCTGGGACTCCATGGGGCTCTGTGGGACTCCATGGGGCTCTGTGGAGCTCTGTGGGCTCCATGGAGCTCAGCGGGGCTCTGTGGGGCCCAGCAGGGCTCCAGATGACTCCAGGGGGTTCCACGGGGCTCTGTGGGGGCCCTCTGGGGTGTCCCTGTCCCTCGGTGGCACGTGGGTGACAATCACACGGAGCCATAGTAACACCAGTTGTACCGGGGAGCGCCCGCACTGAGCTCGTGGTCTTCAAAGCACTCCCGGAGTATTAATAACTAATTAAGATTAACGAGATGAAAGGAGCCAGATCAAACATGTTTATCACCTCGTGCAATCCCAAACCGTGCACGGAGCCCCCGCCTCCCCGAGGGACCACGAGCGCTGCTGGGATTTGTGCTCAGGAAGGGAATATCCGGCTGGTGCACATCGTGGGATGCGCTTGGACAGGGTGGGCAGCGGGAAATGACCTGGAAAGCCCAAAATATTCCCAGCGTGCCCAATCCCCTCGGAATTCAGCGAGAATTGTCGCTTGTCCCTTCGCCACGGCTCGGCTAGAGCGGGAGCCAAGGGCTGAGCCCCACCCGGCCGCGGTCCCACGGCCACCCGCGCCTGTGGCGCTCCGGTGCCAGGAGCCAGAGCTGCCGGGGATGCTGCGGGGATGCTGGGAAGGAGCGGCGGAGGGAAGGAGGGAGGGGAGGCGGGAGCGGAGCACGCCGGGAGCCGCAGCCCGGGCGGGGGGACCCGCTCACCCCGGGGGCTCCGGCGTGTCCCACCCGAGAGCCCACCCGTGTCCCCTCGGTGTTCCCTCGGTCCCTGGGACACAGCCCACCCTCGGGGATCCCCAGGAAAGGGGCGGTGGGGCTGATTCCCGCAGCTCGGAGCCCCCAGCTCGGTGTGCCCCGGGCGGGAGCTGCCACTCCGGGCGGGGACAGCCGGGGGGGTCCCGGGGCTGATCTCGGGGGCAGGGAGGGGCCGTGGCACAGCTCCGCCGGTGACGGGCACACACCGAGCCCCCGCCAGGGCTCCGACCCTCGGGGGGCTGCCCGGAGCTCCTCCCGTGCTCCCGGGGCTGCGGGGACCGAGCGGGGCAGGGCGGGCACAGCGCCCCGGATATGGATCCCGGGATGGATCCCGGGACGAGCACAGCGCCCAGGGATGGATCCCGGGATGGATCCCGGGACGAGCACAGCGCCCCGGGGATGGATCCCGGGCAGGGCACAGCGCCCCGGGGATGGATCCCGGCCGGGCACAGTGCTCCAGGGATGGATCCGATGCTCAGTGACGGCTGCTCAGCCACCGGCACGGAAAGGGACTGCAGGGGCTCTTTGGGATGGGCTGCCCAGGGAAAGAAGCACAACGCGTTTCTTCAAGGGGAAGGAGGGGCTGAGCTGGGGGCACCGCGAGAGCCACGGGGCCCGCCCTGGCAGCCCGGTGGTGCCCCGGTACCCCGGTACCCCCACAGCAGCCGGCGCCGCCCGGCCGCCGCCTCCGCTCGCTGCCCGTTCTCCTGGCACCACCTAGAGGCTGCGGGAACGGGCACGGGGGGACGGACACACAGACACGGGGGGACGGACACGCGGGGGGACAGCGACAGGGAACAGACATGGGCTGACATAGGTGAAAAGACATGAGGGCAGACATGAGGGGACAGACAGAGGAGACAAACATGACGGGGCAAACACGTGGGGACAGACATGGGGGACAGACACACTGCCACGGCACCCACGCGTGGGGCCCACGCACTGCCCCTGGCACGGGGGACAGGGTCAGGGATGGTGACAGGGTCAGGGATGGTGACAGGGCGGGGAGCACCTCTGGCAGCACCTCCTGTCACCCCGGGGAGCCGCCCTGGTGGGGCTGTGCTGGGGGGGCAGGCGATGGCAGCTGTGTCCCCACGGGATGGAGACAGACTCAGGGACAAGCTGGTGACAACCAGGGCGGTGTTCAGGGACCGGACACACCCCCACCCCCCATTGCAGCCACCTTGAAGCAGGGCAGGACAGGGAGAAGCCTCTGGGCACAAGCCATGGGTGTCCATCCCTCGCTGTCCCCGAGCAGGGATGGGCGGTCCCTGCAGCCACCCCGGGGACCCTGGGCCACCACACTGCCACCCCGGGTGCCCCCTGCCTGGCTGGGTGGGCCAGGCCCATGCCACCTGTGGTGTGGCACAGGCTGGGTGCCCCGGGTATCCCCGGCTGTGGGACAGGAGCCCTGGGAGCTCTGTGCCCCCACAGCCAACCCTCCCAGTCCCTGGTACCCCTGTTCCCCACCAGGGCACTGACTCACAAGAACTGAGCTCCAAAACCTCATGGGTTACACCAAAACAAACCCTACAGCTCCGTGCCACCCGTGAGGAAGGCCAGACTGCCTGGATGGATCCAGCTGGTGGCCCTGAGGCCGCCCAGACGTCGCTAGGGACAGCCAGTGCCGGGAGGGAGCAGAGAGGGGCTGTGCTCAGGGCTGGCAGCGTGGCACAGGAGCCGGCAGTGGCTCGGTGCCACCAGGAGCAGTTGGGCACAGCGTGTGCCAGCACTGGCACCTCGCATCCTGCCCGACTCGTTCCGGCCCCGCTCATCCTCCTTGGCTGGGGCTCAGCAACACCATGGAGAGGAGATTTTGGGAAAGGGGGAGGCGAGCACCGGGGCTGCTGCCCGGAGGGACGGGGCTCGGGGAACCTGTGGCTCTCCTTGTGAACCCCCAAGTGCCCAGGGAGGAGCAGAGACTGCCCAGGGACCCTGCTCAGGTGAGCTGGGATGGCTGGGATGGCTCCAGGATGGATTTGGGGAGGTTCTGGGATGGCTGGGATGGCTCCAGGATGGATTTGGGGAGGTTCTAGGATGGCTGGGACGGCTCAGGATGGATCAGAGGCAGTTCTGGGATGGCTGGGACGGCTCCAGGATGGATTGGGGATGGTTCTGAGGTGGCTAGGATGTTCCAGGATGGATTGGGGATGGTTCTGGGATGGCTGGGACGGCTCCAGGATGGATCAGAGGCGGTTCTGGGATGGCTGGGACGGCTCCAGGGTGGATTGGGGGTGGTTCTGGGATGGCTGGGACGGCTCCAGGATGGATTGGGGGTGGTTCTGGGGTGGCTGGGATGGCTCCAGGATAGACTGGGGGCGGTTCTGCGATGGCTCCGGGAGGCCGTGGGTGCACACGCTGCTGCCCACAGCCCTACTGCTCCCATGGGCACTGCTGAGCTGGCACGGCACGGCACGGGATGCCCAGCGGTTCCCTGCTGCCAGGGAGGCACATCCCGGGAGGACACACGTGCACCCAGCACCGGCTCCGGGCTCCCCTTTGGGAGGGGATGCTCCCGCTCCCGAGCAAACTTTGACACTGCCCTCGGGCCGGCTCGGTGCCCACTCCGTGCCCTCCCAGCGCCGTGTCCCCCGCCGGGGCTGTGCCGGGCACTCACCTGTGCAGGTGCAGGGGCTGCAGCTCCTCTTTCTGGAAGCAGACGAAGCAGAAGGAATCCATGGCTCGGCTCCGGTGGCCCCCGCGCCCGGCCGAGGGTGACCGCAGTGCCGGGGGGCGGCGGGCATCGTTCCCGCGCTGCCGGCGGTGCCCCGAGGCTCAGGCGGACCCTGCCGGGGCCATGGTGCCGGGAGCCCTCACACGGCCGGGCCGAGCACCGGGAGCCCTCACACGGCCGGGCCGGGCGCCGGGAGCCCTCACACGGCCGGGCTGGGCGCCGGGAGCCCTCACACGGCCGGGCTGAGCACCGGGAGCCGCCGCTCCCCGGGCACGGAGGCGGCTCCGGGCCGGGCCGAGTCCCGCGTTGCCCTCCGGCCGGGCTCGGTGATGCCAGGCCCAGCCATGGCCCTGCCCGGCCCTCAGGGGGCACCGGGGCTCGGGCAGGGCGGGCCCAGGCTCCGGCCGAGCCCTGCGGGGCTCAGGGGCTGCCCCGGACAGCGGGGACGGGCAGGGTCCCTGCAGCAGGTGGGGTCCGGCGGGCTCTGACGGGACCCAGCGCGCCCTGGAAGGGTCTGCAGGGACACGGGCAGCCGGACACACGGACGGAGGGAAAAGTTGTGCCGTCGTGGAGCGGCGGCTCCGCGGGGCTCGTCTCACCGGCAGAGCCGCCGCTCGCTCTGACAGCCCAAGCAGCGTGCGAGTATTAATAGCTCCCGACTCCCGCGGCGAGGATGGGAATTAACTCCTCGAATGCCGCCTGCCCGGGCTCCAGCCGCCCCCTCCCGGTGCCCGCTGCTGCCTCCGGGCTGGGCAGCACGGGATGGGACCGGGCACACCCGGCCCGGGGCACCGAGGAGCCCGCGCTGTGACCCCCCGGCACTCCCGGGCTATGGGCAGCCCTGGCACGGGGGACATGGCACAATCGGGCGGAAACCTCTTAGCCCGGGTGCCCGTGGGTGGCCGTGCCAGCTGGTGGTGGCAGAGGTGCCACCCCTGGGTGTCTCCCTGAACGGGCACGGTGGGACAGGGCACAGCAGGGAGCCCCGGGGTGCTGGCTGAGGATGTCCCTGCCACACTGCAGTGTCACTTTGCCCCTAGATTAATGTCCCTTTGCCCCCTGATGAGTGTCCCTGCCCCACTGCAGTGTCCCTTTGTCCCTTGATTAGTGTCCCTTTGTCCCTAGATGAGAGTCCCTTTGCCCCCTTATGACAGTCCCTGCCCCATTGCAGTATCCCTTTGCCCCCTTATGACTGTCCCTGCCTCACTGCAGTGTCCCTTTGCCCCTACATGAGTGTCTCTTTGCCCCTAGATGACTGTCCCTGCCCCACTGCAGTGTCCCTTTGCCCCTTGGTGAGTGTCCCTGTCCCAGAATGGACATTGCTGCCGGCAGTGTCCAGCTGTTCCATGGCAATACACCAGGCCAGGCTGGGTCAGGACCCCCAAAGCCACACAGCCCTGATGTGTCCCTGTTCCCCATTCTCTGGGCCTGGCTCAGGGACCAACACGTGTCCCCCAGGTCTGTGGGACCAAGTCCTGGTCACACTCAGTGTCCTGGGCCAGGAGCAAGAGCCACGTCCTTGGGAAGGTGACAGGAGAACAGGGAGAGGTTCCCCAGCCTGGCCTTGGGCTTCGTCATCGCTCCTGAATAATTCAGTGAGTGGCTCTGCCTGCTCCGGCCACACCCCCGCTAATGGCAGAAATCGATGCCTTTTTAATTCCTCATGGCCAGACAGCTCCTGCCTGTGCTGCTCTGGGCCCTGTCCCTCCAGGGGACTCTGATGATCCCAATTTTGTCTCACAGACTCTTGGAATCTCAGAATGGTTTGGGTTGGAAGACACTTTAAAGCTCATCCCATCCCACTGCCATGGCAGGGACAACTTCCACTGTCCCAGGTCACTCTAGGCCCTGCCCAGCCTGGCCTTGGGCACTGCCAGGGATCCAGGGGCAGCCACAGCTGCTCTGGGCACCCTGTGCCAGGGCCTGCCCACCCTCACAGGGAACAATTCCTCATTCCCAATATCCCATCCATCCCTGCCCTCTGGCAGTGGGAGCCATTCCCTGTGTCCTGTCCTTCCATCCCTTGTCCCCAGTCCCTCTGCAGCTCTCCTGGAGCCCCTTTAGGCCCTGGCAAGGGCTCTGAAGTGTCCCTGGAGCTTCTCCTCTCCAGGTGAGCACCCCCAGCTCTGCCAGCCTGGCTCACTGGGGCTGCGCAGGTGTTTGCAAGGATCCTCTTTCCTTGCTGGTCCTTGGGTGCTGGGGGAAGCAGCACCAGCATCCCCAGGATTGCACTGGGGGAGTTCCATGGGATCAGTCCCCCAGGCCCCCTGGTCCCCTGGTGCCAGGGCCTGGCATCCACCCAGGCACCCACTCACCAGGAACAGCTGCAGGAGCAACAAAAATGTTAAAATTTAATGCCTTGGCTAATGGGCTGAGCAGAGTGGAGCAAAAACCTGGAGAAAAAGGGAAGAGGATGAGAGTGCCCAGCGTCTCATGGCTTCCCCCTGCACCCTCTGCTTCCTGGAAAAAGAGGACACAGGATCTTCCTGCCTCACTAAATAAAATCCCACCACAGTGTTGGACCAAGGGGCCAGCCACAAATCCATGTGGCTCCTGGTGGGGCCCCATAGGAGCTCATGGTGAGGCACAGAGCCCTGAGGATGGGACCTTGCCCATGGGAACCCAGGTTCCATCACCTCTTCCAGCACCACCTGCAGCTCTGCTGGTGTGTCCTGAGCTGTGAGATGTACCTGGGGCTGTTGTTCTGTGATCTGTCAGAGCTGGGGCAGTTCTCTGCTGTCCATGGGCAGTTTTTTCTTTCTCTCCCACAGCCAACCCTCCCTCCAGCAGATCTCTGCTGTCCATGGCCACTGAGTGTCCCCGCAGGGCTGATCCAATTCCAGCATCCCATGGGGAGATGCTGTGCCCAGGGCAGGAGCCAAGCATTCCTACCTGGATCCAATCTGGGCCTGGCACAGCACAGCAGCCTCTGCCCCCTGCATTGCCAGAGGAGCAGCTTTCTGCTGCCCTGCATTGCCAGAGGGAGCCCAGGCCCATCTGCAGCAGCCCTGGAGCTGCAGAGGAAAACTGCCCCCTTGTGCAGGATCCCTGCTGCAGCAGAGCCACAGCTGGCACTGCAGGAGGGCTGAGCCCCCATGGCATGGGGCTGGGACACCGCCCTGACCAAGAGAGTGTCAGGTCCTGTTCTGATTCTGGCATGTTGTTTTGTATTATTTTATTTTATTTTATTTTATTTTATTTTATTTTATTTTATTTTATTTTATTTTAATTCTTCCCTCGTAAAGAGCTGTTATTCCTATTCCCATATCTTTGCCTGAGAGCCCCTTAATTTCAAAATAACAATAATTCAGAGGGAGGGGGTTTACATTTTCCACTTCAAGGGAGGCTCCTGCCTTCCTCAGCAGACACCTGGCTGTTCAAACAGAGACACGGTGTCCCCCAGAACCGTGGTTTGCTGAGAGCAGGGAGAGGCACAGAAGGGCAGCTCAGGACATCCTGCTGGGCTGTCTGGCTGGATTTGAGGTCTGGGAAGAAGGCTGGGACAGACTGAACTTGGTGTGGGTTCAAAAGAAGCCACAGCCTGAACGAGTCCTTTCTCTCCACCTGCAAGAGAGCAGAGGGAGAGCAGTGCCCTGATTCCTGCTGCTCCTCTGCCTTGGAGCTGCTGGGATAGCTGGCTGGGATGCTGACATGAATTCCCAGGGCTCCATGTCAAATATTCTCAAGCCATCAGATGTAGCCATGACATTCTCTGAAAAATTCTTTCCTTAGGATTTTTCTTCCTGAGAAGCTGAGAGGCCTGAGGTACAAAATGTAAACAATGATTATCTGCTGCTGTGGGATGCAACAGGTGCATCTGTGATTGGTCTCATGTGGTTGTTTCTATTTAATGGCAAATCACAGTCAGCTGGCTTGGACTCTCTGAGACAGAACCTTTTGTTATCATTCTTTCCTATTATATTCTCAGCTAGCCTTCTGATGAAATTCTTTCTTCTATTCTTTTAGTATAGTTTTAATATAATATATATCATAAAATAATAAATCAAGCCTTCTGAAACATGGATTCAGATCCTCATCTCTTCCCTCATCCTCAGACCCCTGTGGACACCACCACAATCAGACCCACCAAGCCTGGCTGGAGCTGGGTTTGCTGTGCTGCCCTCCACGAGTCCTTTGGGAACCTGCCCTGTCCCCATGGGCTGGGAGCAGTCACCCTTGAGAGGGAATTCTGAAACCATTCCCCAGGGAATGAGCAGTGCCAGAACCCCAGAATAACCCCAAATAAATATTCCCAGAGCAGGAAGGGAGGCAGGAACACCTGGCCAGGAACCAGCAGTGGCCAGAAAGCCACAAATGTCCCTCACCCTGCTCTGAGCAGTGTGCCCAGCTGAGCAGCCAGGCAGGACCCAGCTCCATCCCTGTTCCCAGGCTCTGCTGGGTTTAGATCATTAATTATCCACTTTTGTACTTTCCTCAGGAATTTGGACTCAGGAATTTTTACCTGCTGGGTTTTTACAGCTTGCTAAATAAGCAAATTCCTTGCCAAGGAACTTGGGAGCCGTGGGGAGCCGTGGGGCTTTGTGGACAAAACTTTTCCAAGCTGCTTTATTGGACTTATAAAACACAGTTTAACCCTTTTCATCACGTTGCTTTGCATGAGGTGGCAGGGCAGTAAAATGCTCATTTCTCCATGGCATTCCCAATGAGCTGCAGCTCAGTTTGTGGCAGGAACAATAAAGGAGATGGAGCAGAGGAGAGGGATGTGAGGGGAAGCACAGGCAGCTGCGTGAGGCTCAGACTCACCCTGAGGGCAAAATGCTGCAAAACAGGAATAAAGCAATTAAATGAGATGAATATTTGAATGTGGGATTGAAGGGGCTGGAATCAAGGCTGGAGCAGTGCAGGAGGCTTGGGGAACAGGCATTTCAGTGCCTGTTTGTAATAAAAATTGAGAGATAAACCATGTGGTAACAAATTATTTTCACAAATCCTGTTCCCTTCATCTCCTCAAACAGCTGTTCAGCTCCATGGCATTTCCATTCCTTCTGTGTTTTTAAAACACAAAGTTACCAAATAAATTCATGAAAAAGGTGGGTGGCTTCTCCAGCCTGGGGGCTGCTCCAGGCCCAGTC